TCCCTTTACTTGGTACCCAGAGGCCTCCCTTTATAGTAGTAAGAAGTTGTGTCCCAAAGGAATTCAAACTCTAAGTTGTGATAGGATTGACCTCATCACCAGGTCCTCAAAGTTTGGAGTAGTGTTGGACTAAGAGTCTTGCTCCTAGGTGCATTACCACCAGTCCTAGTGTTAGACTAGGACTCTTGGTCCTAGGTTGAATCTTAGTTGAGTAGGACTCGTCTAGCAGAGATAGGCAATCAAAAGGCGATAGCATGGTACCTCTTGAGTTGTAGTTGGCTACCTGCCAGTTGGCACTTGAGTGCCTTAAAGGCTATTAATCAGCTTGACCCTCATTGTTGTGTGTCAGTCGGCACTTGCCATAATGGAAGACTCCACAATTGCCCCCTCATACCTCAATTAGGTTTTTCGGACCTTTCTTGCTCCTAGGAACCTAGGGCTTTGTTGCCTAATAGATTTGAGATTTTTGTTCTCATTTCAATTCTTCGTTCCCTTGTTATTTACTCTGGAGCTCGGCGTAAAGAGAAGAGTGTTGAGACAGAATAGCAAGTGAAGAATGTTGTCTGCGATCATTACTCTGGGATCCTAGACAAAGTCAAGAAGAAATATGCAAGAGAGAAGAACAAGTCCTTCGGAGATGGTTGGGGAGAAGCTCCCATGGCAACCAGATTGATGGGTAATATCCAGTTTGGGAGGACGTTACATGGTCCAAGAATGATTTTCTAATTCCTGATATCATTGAGAAGTTCCTTAATGATGGTGATTTGAGTCTTCTAACACATGTGCCAACGTTCCTTAATGATGGTGGTTTAAGGCATCTGTTGCTCGTAGAGGTGGCAAATCCTTAACATAGGCTAAGTAGTCGGCTCAATAATCATAGAAGTTGCTGGTTGTCTGTCAAAATGCTAAGAAAATTAGAGAGCAACTTGGTTGCATGGAGAAAAAGTAGCCCAAAGGGCAATCGTGGAGGTTGTAGGGTGGTCAGGCAACTTGACTGTGGAGGTTGCATGTAGACCAAGTAGCCTTGAGGGATAATCATGTAGGTTGTATGAAGGCTAAGTATCTGTGAAGAACAACCACGGAGGTTGGCTAAAGGCGAAATAGCCTTGAAGTGCAACCACAGAAGTTGGCTTCAAGCGAAGTAGCCTTAAGGTGCGACCACTGAGGTTGGCTAGAGGCGAGGTAGCCTTGAGATTCAATGACGGGGGGTTGGATTGAGGTGCAACCATGGAGGTTGGCTTGAGGTGACCAAAGAATATTCTAAAATTGGAGTGAGTAAAGTTAATGTGTGACTTATTTTTGGATCGTGACTTATTTTGCCTTACTTGGCTCTAAGCTTCTGGGTTACCAAAAAACTTAGTCGTTTTCCCACAAAAGGCAAGTCACCAACTCGTGCAGGCGGAGAAGATGGTGAGGACACCTTCAATAACTTGCAAGACAAGAGAAAATCTAGGTGAACTGATAACCGAAGACGGCCAAAGGGACTCTGATGCTTAAATCAAATCTTAAGTTGAAGAAGAATATGGACTAAATAGGTTAGGATTGAATTCTCTTACCAGGTACCCGAAGGCCTTTATTTATAATAGTAAGAAGTTGTCTCCCAAAGGAACTCGAACTCTAAGTTGTGATATAATTGATCTCATCACCAGGTCCTCAAAGTTTAGAGTAGTGTTGGACTAGGAGTCTTGGTCCTTGGTGTCTTATCACTAGGTTCTGGATGTTTGGGGTAGTGTGTTGGACTAGGACTCTTGATCCTAGGTTGAACCTTAATCAAGTAGGACTCGTCTTGCGGAGATGGACAATTAGAAGACAATAGTGTGATACATACTGAATCGTAGTTAGCTGTCTACCAGTCGACACTTGAGTGCCTTAAAGGCTATCGGTCGGCTTCACCCTCATTGTTGTGTACCATTAGGCACTTGTTATAGTGGAAGACTCCACACCTATTAATTTTAAAACTTGACAAATAAAATAAAAATGTACAATTCTCAAAGTCCTATTTTAGTTTGTTGGCAAAAATTAGGATAACTTTTATGAAGAACGTTTTTTTAAAGTTAGATTTCTATTTATTACATCACCTAAAATTTCAATGGAACGTATAATTAGGGTTGTTCATGGGCTGGGTTACCTACAAATCCCATTATTCGACCCAAAAAAATAAGTTCGAAACTCGACAGGTCTGATAGTTGACTCGTCCGAGCCTGAGCCTAATATCTTTAAAAAGAGAGCTTATGTTTGTCCCCAAACCCATTACTCAGCTCGAAAACCGGCCCAATATCCTACCAAAAAAAACCAGTTAAAACCCATCCCAAGAGCCAGCCCAGCCCACCAACCTTCCTTTGAAAAAAAGTTATACATTTTAAACCATTAAATTTGAAATTTTAAAATAAGTCTCCTAATATCGGAATTTGAAGTTTTAAAATTTTAGATACTATACATAATGTATTATTTTCTTTTTCATATATTAAACATATAAGTTTTAAAGGTAGAGCAATGCAAATGATAGATAGGTGAGTAGGTGTCAAACTAGTTGAAATATATTTATTCTATTGGATGTAGTTCATCCCCTAATCAAAAATATAATTTACACAAATATTAAATTACAAAAATATTCATTATTTTTAACTGAAGTTGTAAATAAAAAAACTCGTGAGCAAGCCCGTCCAATAGGCCGCGGGTTCGGCTGCAGGTAGCCTACCCCTACCTAAAGACTTGCCCGACTTGCCCAATACTCACTTAGGTAAGGGTTTGAACCTACACTACCTAGGCCTCACCCGAAAAAAATTTCGCTGGCTTAGCTCGGCCCAGCCCATGGACACCCCTACGTCTAATACATAGTATCATACCCAAAAAAAATAAAATACCTAAAAAACAACCATAAATTTATTCCACTCTAAATTTTAATAAATAGAAATTGACATAAATTAAACTTTCATACATGAAACCAACATAAATAACTTGATTTATATGAACATCCATAATAACAAAAATAAAACCTACTATGCTCCACTAGCTATGTTACTTATAGTTGCCATCCAATTTAAAAGAATTATATTCGGCCTATCTTCCCAAATACAATACCAAATCATATATTAGTCCCAAAAAAAAGTCTTTCTCTATGATCATGCATCCACACTTCCCTCAAGATCATTCAAAACTCCATCTTGACAGTCGTATGTATCCTCTACCTGAGAATTAGCTCGCAACCAATATCTTTATAAAATTTCCATTTTCTTGAAATTCAAGAATGCTAAACAAGATAGAAAAAAAATATTTCTAGCAAGATAGAAAACTCACAGAATTACAATAATGACCTTTGGAAGGTGCAAAATATTTTGAAAAAATATAGAATAAGAAGGCTCGGCCACCAATCGCCATTATTAACACTAGCACAAAATTTCTACTCAATTTAGCATACTCTTTTACAATGAATACTCTTATTAGTTTTAAAACTTGACAAATAATATTACTCAGTCTACTAACAACAGCAATTACCAAGCTGCATCCTCCTCACTTGGAACAAAGAGCAGCACATGCACAGAGCCAACAACATGGCAAATGGCCTTTTTATTAACCGGATTCGAACTACTGGTAGTCGGAGCTAGTGGGATTCGACCATGCAACTTGGCGTTCCGACCAATTCGGTCCCAATACAGAGTCTGGCAGAAGGGGAATTAATAGTTTCTTCAATTGGTACTAGTTCACCTTCAGTTTCGCCATGATAGTATCATCGACAGTCATTGTCTTACGTGCAATCGGACATGAACTGAGCGCTCAGGCTGGCCATTCCCTCGTTTCTTATGTTCCTGTCGTGTGCATTCTTCTTTGTGAGCACGAGGACTTATGTCATGGTGATACCAGAGGGTAGTCCCTTGACGAGTGTGGCACAGGTCGTGGTGGCTGCTAGCAAGGAGAGGAAGTTGAAGTTGCCAGAGCAACCATGGGGCTCTCTGTTTAACCATAATCATAAGCCCACTACTTTTATTAATTCTGAGCTTCCTTACACAGATCAGTTCGTAACCTGCTTTTGCTCTGTAGCAGTCGATGATGGAACCAGAGATATAACAGGTCCTGTTATGCTCTAAGTCTCCACTCCCCACCCCCCAAAAAAAAATAACCCAAAAGAAAAAAGTAAAAAAGGTCTTATCAGCTGACCCAAATTAACTGCCCGGTAGACTGAATCATAAAACCATCTCATCAGCAAGTATGCATTGCACCTCAAATCTTCTTATCAGCTAATATTTTCATTTTTGGAATAGAAACAGGTGAAGCAGAGTGGACTAAATCACAAGCCTGAGCATGAGTGTTCGTTTTTCCTCCTTTTTTTTTTTGGAAAGCCCGATATTAGGAGCTATCTAGTATCATATATTTGTCACACACAACACATTCTTTAGACTAAATTTCACCAATATGCAGAAATTCTATAACCAAATTACTCATCACCACTCCAAACAACATTTGAACAAATTGGAGGCCACGTCAACAACCACCCATGACCATGAAGGCAAACAGAAGGCCAATTTCGCTTTTACTTATGTCAAACATTTTGACAAACACCTAGTCTGCATAATTCACCAATTACAGGTATGAATGGTTTCACATGCATAAAATCTAGGTCCATATCCCGAAGTAGAATAGAAAATATAAATTCAAAAAATTAAAGCAAATTCAAGAGAGACTCACATTTGGAAATGAGAGTTTACCTTCAATTGTCATCGCCATTTCTGCAATTTCATCAAGAGTAATGAACACTGAAATGTTTCAACATTGATTGAAAGGAAGAGAATGAATAAAGTGAAATAAATAAATAGGCTGATCTTTGATGCTTATGTGACCCCTTGCTTTGTAGATAAGCGAGGGAGAGGCAGAAAGTGATTGGTAAGGGATTAGGAGAGGGGTGGAGTGCCATGGGGGTACGCTGTGAGCAGCCTGCGAGAGACGATGATTGGGAAGGGAAAGAACCAATAGGGTTTTTTTTTTTCCTTTTCGCGAATGGATTTGGCGTCCACTTGGTGGGAATGAAATGAGAAATACCATAGTAAATTTGGTAATGTCTAATCCCATGATTTGTGGGATTAAGCATTCCTTAGGAATAGGAATGAATTCTAATTCTAATTCCTGCCAACCAAACATAAGAATGAGTATTACCAAGGAATGTATATTCCATTCCTAAAGCTTAATCCTACGTACCAAACACAGCGTAAGGAAATTCAAACAAATATTGCTAAATGCTGACTAAACTACTAATATCAGGGAAAATCCAATAAATACAGTCTTTGTCTTGGCCTCTTCATGAATCAACCTTCTAAATCAGTACATTTATACACAGAAGTATGATTCTTGAGCTGTTCATCGTTCTCTGAGAATCAGATTTGTAAATGTGCCAATTGATTTTCTACTACAGCAACCCCTCTCCTGCCAGAACCAGATGGAAGCATTAACATAATATAATGATTAAAAGAGACACACCCACTGATGAAAACTGTTAGATTGGGAAATAAATGGTATCTTGTCATAAAATTAATTATTCCCAATCCAACTGCAATCAGTGAGGAAGTACAAGAACACCGTAATAGTGTACATAATCATTTGCAAATATCTACAACATAAAAAAAAAACTTACGCAGCTCCTCAAATGAAATACTGCTGATGCTTTCCCCTGCTTTTATAAAGCGAATTCTCCCTGCAAGGGCAATGTGTATGGCAGCTAGATGATAATGCATACTTAATTCATTGTACTATATCAAATTTAAAATTTTCATGTCTTTTTCAAAACATTACATCAACATATATTTTATTTCTGCTTTGAATACGTTGTGTTGTAATCTTGGACACTGAAACCTTAGCCAGGTAGGACAACCGAAGTTGAAACCATGTTGATATTCACAAACTCAGGTTGGTATATCAACAACTCAGATTGGTTAGGACCTAATATAGAATCCCAAATCAGGTTGCAATATATATATATTCCTCCTCAGGTTACTAACAAATTTTGACATTTCTGTTGCAATACATATATTCCTCCCATGCCTTCTTCTGGGGGCTGGCATAAGCATAGGATATAGCAATTAACAATAAGCTAAGTCCGGAGAAACTAGCAATTACATGGAGAGTTCATTTTGGCCATTTGGTTCTCTGATGAGCCAAATTCTCATCTAAACTTCAGGGAATCGTCCTTTTCTCCTTGCTACAGTTCACTTCATTTTTGGACTTCCTTGCAATTGCTTTTGAGGCCTTTGACTTCATTAAAAGCTCTCCATTACTGTGGTAACACTTGATCCTTAACATACACATGAGTGAACCATCTTGAGGACTTTCCCTTGTTTCGTTTTCAATGGTTGTTTCCTCATCAACTCTATCCTATTTTTTTTCCCTATCTTATTTAAAATTAGCTTCTGTATCCCTCCACCTCTCACGTTATCGCCAATAGGTATCTTTTTTCCCTAAGAAATCCTAAGAGAATTACGTGAAAATCCCAAAACGAAAATGCAAACATCAACAATTTCAGAAGCAGACAATAAAGCATATAAAACTGAAAAAAAGACAACAAAATTGTAATGGATACATAGATTTACTTCCTACTTTCTTGGGTTTGTTGTACACAAACAGAAAACGGGAAAAGAAATTGGATTAAATATTCCTCCCAGCCTCAAAGATAATGAAATATGGCCAACAACCTCACCTAGAAAAGACATATTTTCATTGAACAAACATCACAATACTTTGACGTTCCTAGATAAGTCCAACCATTTGAATAAAACATCAATTTGACTACTTTTAGTATTGTTAATTGGATCAACGAACATCATTGAAAGAAATGGGATGTAAATAATGTGACACCTAGATTAACATACCATCACGTCGCACACATATTTCAGGTATGTTTTTAACTTCACCATTGATACTGTCATTATAAACTCTGGTTTCAATATCACCCTCAACATAAACTGAAGAGCTGCAAAAGGCGCTCCACACATTAGGCAGAAAACAATAGGAAATCCAACATACTAAAAATTAGAGATGTATACTTTTTGGCTAGTTGTTGAACTGCATAAGCCCCAAGGATCTCATTATGCACAGCAATTCGGTGCCATTGTGCTGGTTTTGGCAAGTCTTTTGCTCCCACAATTCTCTGATCATACAAGCCCCCTGTCCCAACAGTGAAGATGGTTACTGTTCGACCATTTCTCAGGATCTTCTGTACAGGGGCTTGCCCAATTTTGCCACATATAATTGCCTGTAGAAGTAAACAATAACCCTTGACTGAAGATATTCACCTAGGACACAATAATTGGGAAATTTCTATCCTCCAGGTGGTTTTTAAGAGAACATAGGACGAGAAATGGAATTAAATTTCTCAACTTTGACATTGATGTGGTTTTGGTTGCCATATAGTGGTACTGGCCACACTTGAAGTTATAGTTTCTCCAGTCCCCATATCATTGAAATTTCTACAGTTCACTAAGTTTCGATTTATTTTCTATGCAACCAAGTGGTGCGTAGATGCATATTTGGGTACCAGTGGAAGTTATATTGCACTGAAAGTTCGCCAGCACACATTCCCCACCACTTCACCGACGAGAATGCATGACAAAAAAGAGCCATGGTAAAAATTTATATATCTGCATTATTAAACTAATGTCAAGTACCTTATGCACACCACGAAAACCCCAACCCCTTCTGGGATCCACACTCTGGAGTTGTAACTCTGGCTTATCGGGAAGAAAATCATCATCAAACTCGTCACCTTCATTGTTTTTCACATCATCACCATTGTCACCATCAAATGTCGAAGTTGAGTACAACAATTTCGAGCCTCCTTGCTCACCCACAACTACAATTTAAAACACGACCACCAAATATTATGAAGCAACAAAAACATTCTTGCTGCACTACATGAGGCTATTATACGAAAATTTTTATCCTGCTCACCAAGTGTTCAGTAAAACTCCTCTTAAACAATGCGTATCACTATACAGCACATCTACTAAAGAAATTTAAGAAAGTAACCCTGAAAATTTCATGAAACTCTGTGTTCTAATACTGTGTTATATCAACTAATTAATCCAAACCATACATATACGTCAGATGCATACAGACATACAGAGAGAGGGAAAGAGACAGACCAAATGAAGAGGTGGGTCTGGTGAACGTTGAGACTCTCAGGAACTTAACGAATTTCGCAGCCAGCGAACTCATTTTGAGCGAAGAAATGTGTTGATTAAAAGAGTAGCCAAAACGCAGCGGGGTTGAAGGGTTTTAAATGCAATCTGGGCAAGAACTCGGCTAGTCTAATTTTTTTGTGGGTAATAATGGACACAGGTAACGAATCAAATCATGCTGTCTGAGCGGGTCTGGGCTTTGATCAAGCTCACATACGAGGTCCGAGTTTTGATTTTCTTCTTATGACCCAAAAGTAAAATCTATTTATAACATGTATAACATGCACATGAAAGTACGGTGCAACATAAATTAATTATTTAAAAATTAAATGTGAATGAATTTAACAAAGATGATGGTGATTATTTGATGAGTGTATTTAAAATCGTCAAATTAAATTATTGAAGTGTGTCTTATTTTATATTACAGATATAATTTTGAAACTTTTTTTATTTATTTATATAATTTTTAAATCTCTATTTTACTCTTATAAAAGATTGCAAATACCACTCTATCCTTTCACAATTAAATATTTAAATTACCCTCATATCCTTATTTATTTAAGTTTCTAAATTATCTAAAATATCTCTTTTAATTATCTATAAGTTTCTATAAAAAAAAATTTGATTGACAATATTACTCTTAAAAAATATGCATCATTATATTTTTAATAAAGTATTCAAAAAACCTTTAAAAACTCTATTAATACAATATTATTCATTTCATATCCAAAGATAATATTATGCTTACATATGTGTTTTCCTTGTTCAACAAAAAGTTTATCACTTTCATTTCTAAAATAAAAAATAATCTTGTATATAATTTTTTTAAATTAATTTATATTATATCAGTATAATTCTTCAATTATAATAAACTTTCTAAGTTGTACTAAAACTTAATATAAAAATAAATATTGTAGTTATTTTTAAGTAAAATTTAAATTTTTTAGAATTTTAATATGTTTGATAAATATATATTGTAGAGTAGCAAAATAAATCTTCTTCCAACTGACATAACTAATTCATAATTACAGTAAGGTTTCAATGTTATTTGTATATTAACAATTATTTTTATTTTATTCAGGAAATTATAAGTGAAATACTAATAAAATAAATTTCAAAAAATTTAATTTCTTAAATATCACTAAAAAATCAATCTCAATCACAAAATTCTAAAAAAATTGAACTTTAACTCTATTTTTTAATATTTTTTTTAGTTAATACAAAGAATTTTAGAAATATAAAAAGTTGTCATAATCTTATCATAGAATATGAGCAATAAAAAATTAAGTTTAATAAATTTAAGATGATATTTAATTCAGATACACATATATCTAATATATTTTATTAATTTTTGTGTACAAAAATTATTCACATACAACTTACGTAGTACATTGCTAATATAATAAAGTACAAAAAATTTCAAATCCCCCTAACTTATAAAATTGTTCGAATGTACCAGATCACTTTGTGAATATTTATTGTCAATCTAACAGATATATCCTACCAACAAAATTGTCCCGCCCAAATATTAAAAAAAAAAAAAGTGAATGAACCAAAGTTTTTATCTCTCAATTTCAAAAAAATATTCAATTCAACGTTTACACTACGTCAATATTAATGTGTCTTTGATTCAATGGTACTCTTTGTCTTGTAAAGATTTTGTCTTCTTCATGGTTCAAGTCTCCCTCCTCCTTTCCCTCTCCCAAAAAAAAAAATTACAAAAAATTACAAAAAAAAAAAACAACAAACTATGTTAGTAATATCGCGTGATAAAACTATCGACCGGTGACATAACTACATACAGGCCTAATGGGGTCTTCCCCTGTCCCCCCTCACTTTTCCAGAAATGCTATTACTCCCAATTTTTTTTTAAAAAAAATTCATAATACTTCCTCTTAAGTTTGGGGTAAAAATCCCTATCTATATGTTTTGAAAAAAACATCATGTATTAGTGCACTAGTTACTGTAATCAAAAAATTCGTTGGCTTAACACTTAATTACCAAATGGACATTAATCACATGGATGAGTGTTAATTTTCCAAACAAAACACATGCTTCAATGACTACAATAAATTTGATTTTTAACAGCAAATTTATTCGTCACTAAAAGTACAAATTTTGTTGCATAAGACTTTTTGCGACGAAATATTTTCGTCGCTAAAATGTCGCTCTAGGCTCATCATAGAAAGTTTCTACGACAAAATGATGAATTAGTGGCCAAAAGTGCTTTTTTCGGTGACAAAATTTTTTTGTTGTGAAAGATAGATTTTTGGACTACAAGTACTTCATGGCTAAAAAAGCAAATATTTGTTGCAATAAAGTGAGAATTTTCGTAGAAAAGTCCAAAAAAAATTTGCTCAAGACTTTTGGCGACGAATAAATTTCATTGTTAAAAAAGTTAGATAATTTCAGCAATGAAAACATATTCATCACCAAAAGTCCTTTTGTAGTTAATTGTTTAGGAAATGAAAAAGAAAACAAAAATATATCACAATCATGAACCCAGAAACACAAGACCAAAAATTTTATTGAATAAACTTTTATTATTCTATTTGAACAATATGACATCCAATACATCAATATGTACTCAAATAACTTAACACTGTATGAAATAACAAATACATCCATAAGAAATCAAAATACAAAAATATATCTGCATAACAAACACGAGCTTCTTGAAACCTTGATACCAATTCCATACGCCATTGTCAAACCTGTGACACATAAAATGACAATACACAAACTTATAAGTTTAGAAGGTAAATGTGTATAACTACAGCAACTTACATTCTCATCAAAACTATAAAGACTACTATCTTACATTGGTCAAGTGTGTACTAGAATGATAGCACAGTTCCTTGACACATCTAAAACGTGAAAATTATATATAAAAAAAGTTGCCATAAATATGAAAGCATGTATTTATAAAACAAGAAATCAACAGAATTTTTTCACATTAGTTCACTTGAAACAAATTTTGAAAACTAGCTTTTTTGGACCTAGTATAGGCTACCTATTTTGTCACACCTAATTCTTCTGGTACGGTCACTATGTTTGAACTCTATGACCATCAAGAAAACAAATGTAACTAAAAATGAAAAAAAAAACTACAAAATTAGATTCATGGCTAGAATTATACATATCGAGTGGGAGATCTGTTTTGTCAGCCCTCTTTCTGAGCTCTACCTGTTCTATGTCTTTAATATGAATATTCATACATTGAAAGGAAAAATTAAGTCTGACCCAAAATAAAGCAGGAAAAATTAAGCATGATCTACAACAACAAAAATGATTACTTATGCCGATGAAACCAAAAAGGCTTAGCACTCTGGGTGGACATAGATCCAACAAAAAACCCATAATTTCCAACCAAATATGCATGTATTAATTAATGCACAGCACAACATAAGTATTATTTGTCCACCGCGTTATATGAAACATAGAACTATAACAACTGCAGTCATAAAACAGATAAAAAGTTATAAAAGAAAAAGGTATGGGAAAATACACATAAACAGACGCGAACAAGTTCTCAATGTTTCATAATCAATAAAATAACACACCACAAACCCTTTAGTCGACCTCGAGAAGCGCTCAGGTGGAATCCTATAGAGCAATTTACAAAATATTAGTGAGGTGCACGCGTGCAAGGCATGCTAGTTAAGTCCATTTTTTTAGGTACCTAAAGTTTTCAGACTAATGAGAATTCTCTATTAGACTAATGGGAACGCTGTCAAAGCTTAAAATATGAAAGAAAGAACAATACTATAAACATGTCCCTCATGTGTAAATTGACTTTTCATCTACGAGTATCAAACCAAAGTATATATCATAAAAACCAGTGATAGTGGATAGTGGCTGAGTTTTACATATCATACAAACCATTTCCCAAAGGATATTTGGTTGAACAAAGGAGCTACACCTCATAGAAACTCCCAATTCTAGTGAGTAACAGTCAAGTAGACGCTGGTAAATTAAATGTTCAAACCAGATACTCTGAAAATTTTGTTTTTGGAAAATGGTCTACCTTCAACAACAAAACAGCCATGATCAACAACAAATTAGGGGAATAGCATATTAAGGGGAAATTTGAAGAATTAGAAGTGTAATTTCTGAATAACCACATAAATATTGTCGAAACCTTGGGCTGTAAAACATTCAGAAATAGTAAGTGTAATTTAGAATGAGTTTTACCTTGTAGTTGTTCGGGTGCAATGGTTCCTAAGTTACATCTCCCAGTTAGAAATCTAGATGCAAGTGGACTCCATTCTCAAACTCAAATTGCAACAGCACAAAAACATTCTATAATTACAAAGGTCACAAACCATATATACTGGAACCAAATGATACTAAAATGGGTAGTGATTGAGAAGGAGGTGCTCTCAAGAATTTCAACAAACACTTCATGTGCAAGGATAGCGTTTGAGACGAATCGCTAAAAGAAACTCCAGTATGTCTAATGGCGTAATCAAAACAGAAATCAGAGGGAGTCAATATCAGCCGCTTGGCAAAAAGGTGAGGGAGGGAGAGAGAGAGTAAGAGGAGTGGTAATGGATGTGTGTTCACTGTTTTTGTGTGTTAATCTGTTGCGTGGTGGGGGGAGAGGATGGAGATGTGTGTGCCTGTGTGCCTGAGTGACGGTGTGGGTGGGTGTATGTCATTTGTGTGTGTGTGTGAGTGAATTCAACAGTGAGGGTATGGGTGAGTTGTGCACAGAGAGAGTGAAGGTGTGGGTAATTTGTGCAAAGAGAAAGAGAAGACTCACAACGATGGTGGTGTCATCGAACGCACAGAGAGAGGCGACAGAATGGGTCGTCTGATGCGATTGTTGAAGAAGAGGAAAGGTAGAACCAATCTAGGGTTTCAAAACGACGTTGTTTTGAAAGTGGAATTAAAATTCCCCAAATCCAAAACGACATCATTTTAATTCGTTAAAATAATTATTTAAATTTAATGGATTTTATGAAGAACAATCCATCAGCAGAGCAGAAGAGACCAAGGAAAAGGTTGATGAATTTTAGTGGAAAAGCACTATCCAGATGGTGGAAGTTGGCATCCTGATGATGAGCATAGAATATTGAATATCATGTATCTCTTTGCATCCATTTATACGTGCTTTTGTGGTGAAAATGAGAAAAAATACATTTAAACTCACTTTTAATAGAAGTTCATGTGATTGTAG